TGATAAATCTCTAGCCCCTAGTGACTGCCTGGCCCGGGGGGGTACCGGGGCAGGAGTTGACTCCGAGGCACCAGGCGCTTCCTTGGGGGGCGGATCGCAGTGTTGTGCGGGAAGCTGTGGACTCTGAATGGTGAGTGTTGGGGAAGTCCGTCTTTCCTGCCCATTCCGCGTGACCCAGACAAAGGTTATTAAACATTCCCGTCTAGAGAGACCAGAGGGAACATGCGGCACACGGGTGGGTTTGGTGCCTGTTGTTCGACCTTGAGCTCTGTCTTGGGGCTTCTCTACTCTACAATATTTTGCCACTTTCAATATACTGGGGTAGTTAAAGTAGGGAAAATCCCCCTAGTTTGGCTGCATTTATACTATTTAGCTTATTTTGGTTCCCAAATCAGAATAAACTTTGCTGGTATAAGGCACCTTTATACCAGTATAATTGCAGCTATGCTAGGGCTTTTACTGGTATAAGTATGTTGGCAAAAAAAACCCCCATCCAAACCGCACACCTAACCAACTGGTACAACTTTTAAATGTAGACCAGCCATTAATTTCTTCATATGGAAAGAGACATTTTTATAGACACATGGAAGTTTACATGTGAAAAGTTCTGGGCAGGTGCTAAGTAGTAGTACTAAGAATCCTTGGCTTAAACCTGCTTTTGACAGATCTTCATGTTTCAAAATGAAGGGTCCCCCTGTGAGGACACACTGATATTGACTCTTGTAGTTTTTGGAAGTAGGCCACGGATTGCTTGGCTGGTTAGATCATTTTATTTTGGAGTAAACACTTATACCAAACTAAGTAAGAGCTAGCAAAAGCAAATGCAAAAACAAGTTGTAGCTGGTGTATATAGAGACACACCTTGTCCTGACAGACCAAATGCAGTTGATTAAGGGAATGCTTTTCCTTGTTTTTACCTGCTACTGTTGTTTTTTTGCAAGCTCTGTTAACTTTGTAGTAGCAACCAAACTTAGTTCCCAGAGATGTTCTGACATTGGTCTATAATTTGGGTGCCCAATCAAAGAGGTTTAGCTATAATATTCACTTTATATTGTAACTTGAATTTGCAGTTAAAGTAAATAATTTTTTTTTTTCTCTATCCTGTTTGCTGAATGGAATTTAAATCAATGGAAACTTAAAAAAAAGGTGAATGGCAGTGATATTGGGATAATAAAAGAGAACTTGAGTTCTAGACAATTAAGTGTTGAAAGTTGTTCTTAGGTACCCCCCCTGCCTCTAAATCTACTTGTCAATTTTATGGCCCTAATCATATTTTTCTGTCTTTAAAACC